TATTAGTTACTTGTCAAATGAATAATTTGCAAATATTTTACCTGTTGTGCAACAGAGTGAAGGTTGTCTCTTTACTCTGTTGATTATTCCCTTTGCTGTACAGAAGCTTTTTAGTTTAATATAGTCCAATTTCTCTGTTTTTGTTGCCTGTGCTTTTGAAATCTTCGTCATAAAAGCTTTGCCTGGACCAATGTCCCAAAATAGTTCTCATGTTTTCTTCTAGAATTTTATAGTTTCAAGTCTTACATTGAAGTCTGTAATCCATTCTGGGTTAATTTTTTATGTGGTGATAGATAGGGGTCTAGTTTCATTTCTCTGCATATGGAAATCCAGTTTTTCCAGCATGATTTATTAAAGAGGGTCTCCTTTCCCCAATGTATGTTCTTGGTGCTTTTATAAAAAAATCAGGTGATCTCGAATCACATCCAACTACATCGTACCTTCCTTTCAAACATGCAAGAAACCTACTCGAATTTCTTATTGTCAGAGTTTTGGATTTATGTCTTGGTTTATATTGCCATATTCATTCTTGGCGGTGAGTACATATCAATGTTGGTCTAGCTGGGCAGAGAGTCAAAGCAGGGAAGAATGGATTCTTCCCACCAGAGTCTACAGCCCACAGAGTGGCATTAGGTGTGATGGGATGGAACATGCTGTGTCTTTATTCCATGTTGGGTTTGAGTGGGTGACATCAAATTTCCTGTGTCTGCCTACATGACACAAAACTCACAGTTCAGTTTAGGGACACACTTCATATCATCCCATCTGTTCTGTTTCAGTGCATAAGAATCCAAGTCTCTGAGGACGGTGGCATAGTGTGCAGTTCACTGGACCAAAAACTTTGGCTGCACCTCTTCCAGAAAGCCTGGCTATGGGGCTCTTCATGATCATTTCAATTCCACTGTTCCAGAAACCCAGAGGTAAACCAAAGCTTTCCAGTGGCTCACTCAAATCAACAATGGGATGGAATATTTTCAAGAGCCCAAGGGAATTTCCTAATCCACACTAGAGGGAAACAGACCCCCAAGGATGGCTAAAGTTTATCCAATATTATCAGAAATTTCCTCTTCCTGGAGCCTTATTGCATGGTACTATCCTTAAAAAGGAATACCCACAGAGCTGAAAAGAGGTCACAATTTCTTCTGGGAAGGATGTATTGTTATAGAAAGGAATGATTCCAATATCTAGGGATATCTTTATATCTTTGGATATGGTTTTTACTCTGATGCTCAACTAGATTTCCTTTTACTCAAGTATGTGTGTGTGTGTGTGTGTGTTCTATTACACTAAAGTGTGTGAACAGAAAAAGAACCAAATTTTGGAGTCAGGTTTAAGAAACATGACTTCAGTATCTACCAGTTTGTCAAATTTGAGTAAGTAGTGAAGACTATGAGCCTCAGCTTCCTCATCTGTGGAGATAATGACACCTGATTAACAGAAGTTTTATTAAATGATGTAACCTATGTGAAGCTTGGCACATACTAAGAACTCAAAAATTAGAGTTTCCTTTCCTCTTTCAAAACCAGATTTCTTACATGTGGCCCTTATCATAAGAATATTAATGGCCTATTCCTGGCCCTCCACATTCTTAAGACCCAATAGACCATTATGTTACTGGATGACAAGAAAGTCGTTCTTGACCCTAATAGTGGTGATAGTGGGTATGAACTGGGGAGAATCGTTTGACTCAGACATAAACACATAGTAACAATATATTGTTCTCTGAGCATCAGAGGAGGTGCCGTAGTGAGTCGTGCCCTGGGAGCATTCAGGATGGAGACAGATTGGCTGAGGTTCCCATGTACGGCATTGTTCCATAGCCTAAAATCAAGAATTCAGTTCCTTTATTTTCTCAGACAAGATCTTATATTCTTGGCAGAGGCTATCAGACGTTGAAGGGAGGCCTAAAACCTTACAGGACCTAAATATAAGTGATCCAGTTAAATATAAACACTGAGATTCACCTTGTCGGAAAATCCTCTTTAAAATATATGAAGGTCTGCCTTGTGGATTCTGTTTTCCCTAAAACCAATGTGCCCTCAGTCTCAAACACTGATATTGTCCTATTGCACCTTTCCGTGTATTGTAACCGAACAACTTAAGAAGTGCTGAGATAACCATGTACAAGGACATTGCAGGAAAATCTGAAAGTAACTGAAGTACATGAGGTACGATGTGAAAATGGGAGAGATTATTGCCTCAATATCAAGGAACTGGAAGCACATAAAAAAAATTACAAAGCTACCTTGTCCAAAGCCAGCAACACTTGCACTGACTCTTCCTCAAGACTATGTTACAGTAATAGAAAATTTCGCAACCCTGAAGACAGTCTACATAAATCAAATGCGATAGTCTAATGAACTAAGGTGATGAGATCTACATCTTCTTCCTTTTGGTTTATTGATCCTTAAAATGACCTTCGAGCATATTTCAATAAAGTGCATTGCCAGTTTTCTGTCTCATTTTGTTCTTTAACCAGGGATAGAACACTCATTATATACTCGGAAAAGAATTGATAAGAACCCAGAAATCTCCTTGAAAAGGGGATATAATAAGTACACTTAAAAAAAAATCCTATAGTGTGGAAGTCTGGAAAAAGGAACTCAGAAACATTGACGTAATTTAGGGCAGGAAAAGGTGAAGCAAATATTCAGGGTAAATTCGTGAATAAGTTTAGGAATAAAGCAGCGTCTTATAATAATAAGTAGAATTTCAATGGCTAAGGTTTGGTAGGGAAGGCAATTTGAGTGAACAGAATGACATCAACTAATGGAATAAAATTGGAAAAGACAGATCATTTTAGGAAACTATACATGCACTTTGTTTGGATGAACAGAGCACTCAAAGTTGAACTATGGGGAAGTCTTATTTCCTAAGCTCCTGTGTACCAGCATTGAATCAGGAAGATAGAGATAAATAAGATTCCACTGTTGTGGAGCTCACTCTATAATGTGAAGGAAGACCTAAGTAAATAACTCCAACACGGAAGTTTTTTTATTTTTGCTTTGTTGTTACCGTTAACATGTTCATCTTTTTGTTATTGGGGCCCTTTGGAGTTTAGGGGAGTTTTGGACCTGGGAATTCATCCAAATTGTAGTGCTCTTGTTGTCTTGATATGCAAGAAGAATAATCCATGTTCATAGTCTGCTGCATTCTTAAAGATGTACCTTCTGAATATTATTAACATGGAAAGTTTCTTCAACTACATTTCACACTCAGTTTTCAATTTTGTTTCTTATATCATTTCACTATAACAATTACAAGCATTTTAAAGATTTAGTTCATCCACTGTAACATTCACCACTAATGTGTGGCATGTGTTCTCTTAATCTCTCTCTTATTTAGTGTTCTAGGGATAGGATAGGGAGTATGTAAGATAAGCCTAGAATATCTTGTGGTGCCAGAAGGTAAGCAATGGCTTAAAAATCAAAGGATAGGGACATATTAAAGGGATGCAGGAGTCGGTCTAAAAGAGCTTCAAATGACCAAATCTGGGACAATTCCCTATTCGATAAATGGTGCCAGGATAGTTGGCAAGCCACATACAGAAGAATCAAAGTGGACTCCTACCTCTCACCATATATAAAAATTAACCCAAAATAGATTAAAGATAGAAATGTAAGAACTCAAATTATAAGAATCCTAGAAGAAAAGCTAGGAAACACCATTCTGGACATAGGTTTTGGGAAATAATTTATGACTAAGTCCTCAAAAGCAATTGCAACAAAAATAAAAATTAACAATGGGACCTAGTTAAACCAAAGAGCTTCTGCATAGCAAAAGAAACTATTAACAGAATAAAAAGGCAACATACACAATGGGAGAAAATACTCACAAACTATGCCTCTGATAAAGGTCTAATATCAAGCATCTATAAGGAACTTGATTCAACAAGCAAAAAGCAAACAGCCCCATTAAAAAGTGCTCATAAGACATGAACAGACACCTCTAAAAAGAAGACATACAAGTGGCCAACAAATATGTGAAAAAGTCTTCAGCATCACTCATCACCGGAGCAATGCAAATCAAAATCACAATCCCTTTATACCACTTCGAGTGGCTATTATTCAAAAATCAAAAAACAACAGATGCCGGCAAGGCTGCAGAGAAAAGGGAATGCTTATACACTGTTAGTGGAAACGTAAATTTGTTCAGCCACTATGGAAAGAAGTTTGGAGATTTCTCAAAGAACTTAAAACATAACTACCATTCAATTCAGCAATCCCACTACTGGGTATATACCCCAAAGAAAATAAATTTTTCTACCAAAAAGATGTATGCATGTATATGTTCATCATAGCACTATTCATAACAGCAAAGACATGGAATCAACCTAGGTTCCCATCAGCGGTGGATTGAATGAAGAAAATGTGCTACCTGTACACAACAGAATACCACACTGCCATAAAAAAATAAAATCATGTTTTCTGCAGCAACATGAATGCAGCTGGAGGCCCTTATCCTAAGCAAATCAACATTGGAACAGGAAACCTAATACCACATGTTCTCACTTATAAGTGGGAGCTAAACATTGGGTACACATTGACATAAAGCTGGGAACAATAGACACTGGGAACTAATAAGAGCAGGGAAGGAGGAGAGGGGAAAGGGTTGAAAAACTTAACAGTTGGGTACTATGCTCAGAACCTAAGCAATGGGATCAATTGTAACCCAAACCTCAACAACACACAGTACACCAGTGTAACAAACCTTCACATGTACCCCTGAGCCTAAAATAAAAGCTGAAATTATTTTTTTAATGGAAAGGCTAACTTCCACCTCTACCAATGTGTTTACTTTATTTATATATTCCCTATCTTACTGGCATAAAACCTGGAGCATGGCAACCATTCATTTATGTTTGAAGTATTTAAAAAATGAGTGACTACATCAATAAATGAACCCAGAGGGAAGCACAGGACTTTATTATGTGGGGAATCAAGTTCATGGAAGGAAGTGGAGAAAGCTTTTGCTGCAGCCTGCTGGATTAGACAGCACTTTTTATTTAGGAAGAGTGGAGACCAGTGAGACAAGGGCTTGATTTAGGATTCTACTGTGAAAATGGTGACAGTGGGTAAAATGACATAATCCTGATGGATGGTCGGCTTCTCACCAGAATGTGTATGTGGCTTCTTAACTGGCACATGTTTTTTGTTTTCTTCATAATTAACACAACATAATTTCCCACTTAGACATCCTATTTCATATATTTCTCCTACTTTGCATTTCTTCCTGCAGTAGCCTGTTATATTATTGAAGCATTTTTTGAGTCTTGCCCCATCTGTGCATAGGAAACAACATTGAACCAAGGTTAGTGCATGAGAGAGAGAGCAGAAGAGGTAGATATACGATTCCCCACAAGTCACGGCCTCCTGTGGTCCCAAGTGAACATTATTCTAACAAAAGGAAACTCAGAGGCCCCTCCTTGAAAAGTATCCCAAATTAAGGACATTCAAAATCCCAGGCTCTCAGCCAATGTCCAGTTGCCTCTGAAAACATTAGAACTGGTATGACAAAAGAGAAGAGAGAGCTCAATTCCTGGTTATTAACCAGAGCCCTGGCAAAGCTGACTCTCTCCAGCAAGCTCCAAAGTCAGTACTCTCTCAGCTCCACCTCAGACTCATGTCCCCAGAGACCACTAACATGTCACCTTTGGCACAGCTCAGAGCCAAAGCAACTTTTGAAAAAACATCACAAACAAGACTTTGTAACTTAATTGGGTTTTACACTCACTGATATGGGCAGCAGAAATTTCCCTTCGACAAGATCTCATGGGTCTCAGCAACAGGTGCTATTAAGAATGATTTCCCTTAATCTGGCTCCTTCTGTCTGTCATTTGTCACATTCTCCTTGATCTCAGATAAATGGGTTGCCCAGGGATCAAATTCAATTCAATGAATTTGGCGCTAGAGAGCTACACCGTCGCCTACTCAGGGTAATGCTTTGAGATTCTAAGTTTCTTGTTTCTAATCCTTATTTGCCCCTCTACCCAAAATTTGAACAAGCCCAAAGAATTAAGATGGAGAACAGAGACATATTCTCCCTATCCTAAACTTCAGAATCAGGGAACATCTTTGAGGGTTAGAGGAGTAATATTTTGGGGCCACAAAAATATAATATGCCTTCTTCCTAGGAAGAGAGAAGAGAACTCTCACTGACAGAGCTTCTACTGTGAACTTTGTACTTCGTGCTTGTTAGCTCATGTAATCTACACATCAAACAGAATCATGAAATATAGTCATTATACTCCTTGACAGAGGAGAAAATTGAGATTAAAAGGGAATAACATGCTCAATTCATACAAGTCAATGATGAAGACATCTTTTAACCTCACATTGACATGACTTCAAAATATGTGTTATTCTAATTACTGTTGTAATACAGACTGAAAATGAATTTGGACGGAAAAGGGGATGGCCAGGCTCTCAGGTGAAAACTGTGTCCAGCATTTTAAAGATAATTCTAGATGATGAGTTCATGGATACCTTTGAAGAGGACTCCTGAGAGTACAGTATAGCCTTGACCTCCTCTTACCTCCCTGGGTGCTCTCTTCTAAGGCACAGACGCAAGCAAGGCAACCAGGAGAATGGGTATTTTTTTAAACGATTTTGGCCAAATATAAATAATATTGAAACTCCTGTTCCCACTCTTATAAATAGTCATTTCTCTTAGGATGTTATGGTACGTTTGGACAAGTTACCTGTGGGTACCTCAAACAGCAGAATAATGAGAACCAGAAACAGCTTCATGTTTACAGACTTCCCAAGAGAAAGAGGCAGCGAAATTTTGTCCAGTGGTCCGTGTCCCACAGGTCTTTCAAGATGCAGAGTTTGAGTGCTGTTAGAGCTCTGAGCTCTCATTTTAACCCACATCGACAGACAGGAAATCCAAGTCCACCCCACCAACACACACACACCTACATCCCCAAATATGGAGCTCACAATCACAGAATGTTCCACCATATCATCCTTCCTCCCCCTTCCCCAGGACATGTGCTCCTAGAGAGCAGGAACTATGACTTTCCATCTGAACTTTCACCCCATTTGGGTCAAGGTTGGTTGGTCATGTGCCCTGCTTTGTGTGGGATAATCCTATCTTATTCCTATTGTTCCAATGTTCCATCCGGCTAGGGCTGCCTCTCACAAAAGAAACCCAATTTGAAAGATAAATTAAGTCATTAGTCAAGATAGACACAGAAGCACATTCAATAACAATTTTTTTTAATGTATAAAGCTTCTAGATAGTCATTCTAGGAGTAAGATTACTTTTAGGTTTGGCTAGATACATTGATATTATTTGAGAGTTTCCCATAAAGACTTGTCCATCTAGTAGAGCAAAATTCAACAACTGAAAATTCTTCAGAAGATCAAATATCCTTTGCACACCATTCAACTTACTATAAACTGGTCCCTGCTCTCCTCTCCTGGGACATTTTATGAAACCACTTATGTTTCTGCCAAACTAATGAGTACACCTTCCTGAACTTTTACTTCCTTAATCTGTTTCTTTTCACATTTAAATCCCTCTTTACAAATTATATTAGACTCCCTATCCCCTCCATATAACTGGTCCTAGTAAACTCCTAATTTTCCTTCAAAACCAAGTTCAATCATCTCTACATATGTGAAAGTTTCCCTGACCCAACCAGGGAAAGTTCCACTAAGGGACTTAGTTCCATTTCTAAATACACTAAATAGAGATAACCCAAGGATTAGATGAATATGAGTCCAGCTATGCAGGAAATCATTTATTTGCCACTTTAGCGCCCAATAAGAACTAAGAAGTTGGACTCCAGATTAGTGTATGGGTTTCTTTTAGCCTTTTCTAACTAGAATCAAGAAAGATGAGATGTTTTATTGTTCTAAACCTTTACTTCAGCCAAGTATGGTGCTCTGGAAGCTTCTCAACCCCACTCCCACTGCCTCCATGTTCAAGACCATGAAAGAAGAGGAAATTTCCTCTCCAAGTAGATGTCCATCTTCTACACCATTTTTTCCCATGTCTGATAGATACACTCCAGCAGAACTCCAGTAGTATATTTCACTCAGGATACAAAGGTGTATTTGTCAGCACCAAGTCCTAACGATGATTTTCATCAAATTCTAAATTGTTTCTTTCCAAATCTCAAAACCTCCCAGAAAATCCTTGTCTTTTAAGGCTCAGATTAAGTAAGACCTCTGTGATGTTTTCCTAACTCCTCTGATAGACTTAATTAATTCCTATTTTGAGCCCCTACAGCTCTTACCATTTGTATTTGTAACACTAATCACATTTGTGTGTATGTTTGTGTTTGTGAATTAACTTTTATTTTAGGTTCAGGAGAACATGTGCAGGTTAGTTATATAGGTAAATTGTATGTCACAGGGGTTTCGTGTAAAGGTAATTTCATCACCCAGGTAATAATCATAGTACCTAATAGGTAGTTTTTCAATCCTCACCCTCCTCCCACCTCAAGTAGGCGCTGGTGTTTGTTGTTTCCATCTTTGTGTTCATGTGGACTCAATGTTTAGCTCCCACTTATAAGTGAGAACACATGGTATTTGTTTTTTCTGTTCCTGTGTTAACTTGCTTAGGATATAGGCCTCCAGCTCCATCCATGTCCCTGCAAAGGAAATGATCTCATTTTTTATGGCTGTGTAGTATTCCACAGTGTATACATACCACATTTTATTTATCTGGTGTACTACTGTTGAGCATTTAGGTTGATTCCATGTCTTTGCTGCTGTGACTGGTGCTGCAATGAACATATGTGTGCACGTGTCTTTTTTGGTGTAGGCACTTACAGCTGTAAAATTCCCTCTTAATGCTGCTTTTACCTCAGAGGTTTTGGTATATTGTGGTTCCATTTTCATTTGTTTCAAGAAAAATTTTTGAATTTCCTTCCTAATTTCTTTATTGACCCACTGGTCATTCAGGAGCATATCGTTTACTTTTCATTTATTTGTATGGTTTCCCAAATTCCTTTTGTTATTGATTTCTAGTTATATTCCATTGCGGTCAGAGAAGATCCTTGACACTATTTTTAAATGTTTTAAGATGTGTTTTGTGATAACAGCATATGGTCTATCCTTGAGAATGATCCATGTGCTGAGGAAAAGAATGTGTATTTTGCAGCCATTGGATGAAATGTTCTATAAACATCTATCAGGTTCGTTTGATCTACAGTGCAATTACATTGAAGTTTCCTGGTTGATTTTATCTCTCTGGAAGATCTGTTCAATGCTGAAAGTAGGGTGTTGAAATCTCCAACTATTACTGTATTTGGGTCTATCTTTATAGCTCTAATAATATTTGCTTTATATATCTGGGTTCTCTAGTATCGGATACACATATATTTAAAATTGTTGTATCTTCCTGCTGAATTAACCACTTTATTATTATATAGTGGCCTTATTTGTCTCCTTATAATTTTTTCTTGAAATCTATTTTGTCTAAGTATAGCTACTGCTCTTTTTTGGTTTTCATTGGAATGGAATATATTTTTGCAACCCTTTATTTTCAGCTTATGTCTGTCTTCATAGGTGGAGTGTATTTCTTATAGTCAACAGATCAGTTGGTCTTGTTTTTTCAACCATTCAGTCACTGTATGTCTTTTGTTTGGAGAGTTTAGTCTATTTACATTCAATGTTATTATTTGTCAGTAAAGACTTACTCCTGCTATTTTGTTCTTCATTTTTCTGGTTGTTTATTGGCCTTCTCTTTTTTCTTTTCTTCCTGTCTTCTTTAGTGAAGGTGATTTTCTCTGGTGATATGATTTACTTTCTTTCAGTTTTTGTCTATCCAGTGTATGTTTTTTTTGGTTTGAGGTTACCATGAATCTTGCAAATACTATCTCATAACCTATTATTTTAAGCTGATAATAACCCTGTTTACATAAACAAGCAAAAAGAAAACACATAATAAAAACTCTATGCCTTAACTTCATCCCTCTACTTTTTAACTTTTCATTGATTCTCTTTATATCTTATTTTGCTGTAATGTTTTGAAAAGTTGTTGTGGTTATTTTTGGTTGACTTTTCAGTCTTTCTACTTAGGATTAAAGTAGTTTACACATCACAGTTATGTGTTATAATATTCTGTGTTTTTCTGTATACTTATTATTACCAGTGAGTTTTCTACCTTCCGGTGATTTCTTATTGCTCACTAACATCCTTTCCTTTCTGATGGAAGTACTCCCTTTAGCATTTCTTACAGGAAATGTCTGGTGTTTATGAAATCCTTCAGCTTTTGTTTGTCTTTGAAAGTTTATTTTTCCTTCATGTTTGAAGGACATTTTCACTAGATATACTATTCTAGGGTAAAATTTTTTTTTCTTCAGCACTTTAAATATGTAATGCCACTTTCTCTTTGCCTGTAAAGTTTCCACTGAAAAGTCTGCTGCCAGACATATGAACCTTTATTGTATGTTTTTGTTTATATTCTCTTGCTACTTTTAGTATTCTTTACCCTTGATCTTTGAGAATTTGATTACTAAATGCCTGAGGGTAGTCTTCTTTGGGTTAAATCTGTTTGGTGTTTGATAATCTTCTTGTACTTGGATGTTGATATATTTCTCTAGGTTTGGAAAGTTCTCTGTTATTATCTCTTTGGGTAAACTTTCTACACATATGTCTCTCTCTACCTCCTCTTTATGGCAATAACACTTAGATTTACCATTTTGAGACTATTTTCTAGATCTTGTAGGCATACTTCATTATTTTAACTCTTTTTTTCCATCTCCTTTGTGTATTTTCAAATAGCCTGTCTTCAAGCTCATTAATTCTTTCTTCTCCCTGATCAATTCTGCTATTAAAAGACTCTGATGCATTCTTCAGTATGCAAATTGCATTTTTCAGCTCCAGAATTTCTGCTTGATTCTTTTTAATTAGTTAAATCTGTTAAATTTATCTCATAGAATTCTGAATTCCTTCACTGTGTTACCTTGAATTTCTTTCTTTTTTTTTGAGACAGAGTTTCACTCTTGTTACCCAGGCTGGAGTGCAATGGCACGATCTCTGCTCACCGCAACCTCTGCCTCCTGGGTTCAGGCAATTCTCCTGCCTCAGCCTCCTGAGTAGCTGGGATTACAGGCACGCGCCACCATGCCCAGCTGATTTTTTGTCTTTGGGTTTCCTCAACACAGCTATTTTGAATTATCTGTCAGAAAAGTCATATATCTCTGTTTCTCTGGGAATGGCCCCTGGTGTCTTATTTAGTCCATTTGGTGAGGACATACTTTCCTGGATGGTGTTGCTGCTAGTAGATGTTCTTCAGTGTCTGGGCATTTAATACTTAGGTATTTTTTGCAGCCTTCACTGTCTGAGCTTATTTTTACCTGTCCTTCTTGGGAAGTCTTTCCAAATATTCAAAAGGCCTTGAGTGTTGTGATTTAAGCTATATCTGCTTTAGGGAGCACCCCAAATCCAGCAATACTGTGGTTCTTGCAGACTCTTAGAGATACCACCTTGATGGTCTTAGACGAGATCTGAGAAAATTCTCTGTATTACCAGGCAGGGGCTCTTGTTCTCTTCCCTTACTTTCTCCCAAACAAAGTCTGTCTCCCTCTCTCTCTCTCTGTCTCTCTCTCTCTCTCTCTCTGTCTGTCTGTTCTGAGCCACCTAAACCTGAGGATGGAGTGACACAAGCATCCCTGTGGCCATCAGCACTTTGACTGCACTGGGTCAGACTTGAAGCCAGCACAGCACTAGATCTCACCCAAGACCTGCTGCAACCACTGCCTGGATACTCCTCAAAGTCCTGGGGCTCTACAATCAGCAAATGGTAAAGCCAACCAGGAATGAGTCATTCCTTTTAAGGCAGAAGGTCTCCCAGGCCCCAGGTGGGTAC